TCGTGTAGAGGAGAGACGCCCAGGTTGCAGTCAGGAGGTCAGGGACGGCCCGTGTGTGGTGTCCATGGTACAGAGGACGCCAAAGCCCGAGTGGAACTGGTTCCCTTATACAGCCATTACTTGTGTGTTTGGTCATGAGCAATGTGACTTTTATGCGAAAAATGCTTACAGTGGATTAAGGGAGAAGGGCGGTGAGGGCAGGCCACCTTCCTCAGTGCCTCCTGGAGCAGCAGCGAGCTGGCAGGTGTGGCAGGAAAGGCCTGAGCGAGTGGAAGGGAAGGATCCAGAAGAGATGGAAAATGCCTGAGAGATTGGTGGGGACCAGGTTCCCCAAGGATGTGAGCTGGAGGGGATACCAGCTGGGGTCCTGGTCCAAGGAACGAGGAGGGAGATAGAGAGAAGAGGGGTAGGAGGGGACTCCATCTTCTGTCACACAAGAGCAAAGTCATTTGCCAAGAGTGTGTGTCTGAGAGGCATAGAGGGGCCAGGATGGGGCGGCCAAGTGCTTGGGGGCCTGATGGGACCCAGGTGGCCTGGTCGGATTGGACTCGGTACTGTGCCAAGGGCTGAGGCGAGGGGGTGGGACCAGGTCACAGTGGGGTGGGGTCACGGCTGCTGAGGCCACACATCTCTTCCAGTTCCTCCTGCTCTTCGTGGCTTTGTCCACCCTCACAAGAAGCGGAAGAAGCCGTCCTCCTCTAAGAAGGCCAAGGTATGTCCCCTGGGGCCTTCGTGACAGCTGCAGGGCTCCCCTTCCACCTTGTTTCCTTCTCACCAGGGTGCACACACCTTGCCCTTGGGAGGGAGGAAGGAGGCCCCAAGAACTGGCCCCAGACTCCTGGCTGCTGGGTCAAAGTCATGGGGGCTGGGACTCTCCTTCAGCAGCCCACAGACAACTTCAAGCTCAGAGGAGGACCTGCTGTTCTGTCCCCACTGCCTTCCCTGTTCTCAGGCGGCAGGAAGAGGAAGGTGGGGGGGTCAAGGGGCTGCCCTCTGTGGTGACAGCAGCTTCTGTCCTTGGCTTGTGGCTTGCAGGGCCATGCCAAGTGGCAACAACATCCACTTCTCTCTGTCTGTCACTGTTTGGGCAGACGGATGTCTGATTCCTTCAGCTAACCTGCAACTTTGCCCCCATAGAAGGCGAAGGCCCAGAACCCACTACGCAGCTTCAAGCACAGAAGAGAGAAACGCAGATCCACAGTGATGCCCACCTGAGGTCTTGCAGGCAGCCTCGGCCACCTTCCTGGGCCTCCCAGGGCTGAGCAGAGCATGCAGTGGGCTTCCCCGCTTGGAGGGAGTGGGCTTCTTGGCCTGGACATAGCTGGATTACTGCCCTGGATGGACTAGATTCCAGGGCAGGCAGAACTGAGGCCCTGCAGATCTGTGGTGCTGCCAGCTTGGCATGTTGCCCTTAATAGTGGAATAAAGACTCTAGCTGCCCCAGTTTGTGCCTCCTGTGTGTAGGAAGGGACCAACCCTGGAAACCTTGGTAATCAGAAACCACTTCCAGGAGGCGGGGCCTGCCTCTCTGCCTGCTGTGTGTGGAGCCCCCTTGGCCAGCAGAGGTCTGCCATGGGGCGCTGCAACCTAGGGGCCTTTGGGCCCTGGAAGACACCTGCCCTCGTCCAGGTCTCTGGCCCCGCCCACAGCTGCTCCTGTGGCCTTCCTATCTGGGATGAGGCTGACTGGCCTCCCTCTCCTGCAGCTCAGAAACGACGCTCGTGCAGGAAAGACAGGGCTTTCTGACTATGTGCAGGCCCATCGTAAATTCAGCCTCCCACCTCCTCTGGCAGCCAGGGACAGCCATCTCCCAAGCTCTCTGAGGCGCTCTGCTCCTTCAGCACACCTCGCGTATTTTAAATGCACCAGTGGTAGTGTGATGCGCATGTGCCTGCTGTTCCTTTGCTCTCCACCCAGCTGCTCAGGGCCTCCCAGCTTTTCCTGCCCTCTGGAGGAGAGGGGACTGCTGACTCTGTGCCCTTGATGGGCCCACTGGCCTGCTTATCGCAATCTTCCCTTGTCACCTGCTTCTCAGGCCTCACCAGGCCAGACTGGTGAGGAGAAGACGCCGAGGTGGGGGAGGGAGACTGAGAGAAAGGAAGAAAATCAGAAGTGCTTGAGTATTTCTTTCAGAAAGAAAACCAAGCTGTGGTGTCAGCACAGGCTGCTCTGCATGGCGAGGAGGAGGGGGCCTCTGGTTGCTGTCAGGATGTGTTGGGATCTCGAGATTGGGGAGTCAACATTTCTTGCTCTGGTTCCGAGGATTCCGAGGGAGCCGGGCTGTGTGTGATGGGAGCAGTGTTGCTGCTTAGGTGAGATTATCAGCAAATGTTGTGGAACAGCAGCCAGTGCAGTGCAACCAGGATTCTTGCAGTCCGCCATGGTTCAGGTGCGTTGAGGAGAAGTAGTTAATGGACCTGAACAAAGACTGCAACTTTATGAGCATCTGCTGGGTCCCAGAACAGCACCCGAGCCTCGTGGGTGTCACTCCGTGTTGTGGAAGGAGATAGGCTGCTGGCTTCAGTCCTGATGGACCTTCCTGCCTGCTTCACGAGAAGCCCTGGATGCTTAGGAAGCTGTTTGCTCTAAAATGATATACCAGCCTTGCACTGGAACGGTTCTTGTCCCTCTGACACTGCCACCTACAGGCGCTCCCTGCCCACGAGCTTGCGTCCCAGAACCAGCCTGATGCAGGAGAGTGGGCGATTTGTGCTTCCCCACTGATGTTCCTTCTCGAAGGGGTCTGCTCTGGGCTGCATCCCCACCTCGGGACAAAGATGGGGGCTGAGTGGAGGCCTGGTGGCTGTGTGCTAAACGCTGGCTGTGTGCCGAGACTGTGCTGAGTGTACTTATGCGTACTTACAGACTTGTATCCTCACAACAGCCCCTGGAGAAGGCTATTATCCGTTCCTAGAGGGGGAGCTGCAGCTCAGAAAAGTTCCCTGGTGTGTCGAGGTCACAGGGGAGATGAGAGCTGGGCAGCATTTGGGCAGCAGTGCAGGCCTGCTCTGGTGCCTTGGGCTGGCCTGCTGTCCACCCCAGCGGAGAAGTAGCCAGCCCTGCTGGCCCTCTCACCAACATGGGGGCTGGTGCCACCCTAGGCACTTTGGGAGCTGGGCTGAGCCTGTGTACCTCTCTCTGAGCCAAACAGGCCCAGCACTTGGTGGGGTCTGAATTGGCTGGGGCAGTGGAGAGGGTGGGGTGTGTCCCTGAGCCCGGAGTCTGCAGAGGGAAGGTATACAGGGGCTTAGACATCTCATTCGATCCTCACACAGCCCTGGGGGTCAGCACCGCTATGTCCGTTTACATACGGAGAAAACAGGCCCTCAGAGGCTGGACTTTTCTGTCCAGTGTTGAAATTTCTGTCCTTAACAAGCATGTCCAGACCAGAACGGAACAGGCCTTGGGACACAGGTGTGCACACGAGTGCCTTGGCCCTGGAAGGTGAGGTGCCTGTTGTAAGGTTAGCTTCACTGAGCAGCAGATAAGCTCGGCCGGTTCCCAGGCAGCTGATGCACGAGACTCACGGCAGGGAGGTCAGAGGAGTACAGCGACCGTCTCCACCTCCGGCTGGCACAGTCACACCCACACATAGACCTGGATGGGCACCATTGTGTTCCATATTGTGGGCTAGGGTCTAGGGAAGATGGACAGGGCACAGCCCTTGCATGCGAGGAGCTTTAGGGAGATCAAGAATCAGGCCTTCACCCCGTGGCCTAGTGGTTTGGTTCCTGGGTGCAGACCTACACACCACTTGTCAGCAGCCATGCTGTGGCGGTGACCCACATACAAAATAGAGGAAGACTGGCACAGATGTTAGCTCAGGGCAAATCATCCCCAAGCAAAAAAGAGGAAGATTGGCAACAGGTGTTAGCTCAGGGTGACTCTTCCTCAGCAAAAAAAACAAAAAAACAAAAAAAAATCAGGCCTTGAATGCATCCCGACCTCCCCAGAGCTGCAGATTCCACGAAACAGTCTGCCCTACCAACACTTATTGGGGCTTGCCTGGTGCAGACGCTGAGCTGGGGGCAGGAGGGAGTGCTGGCAGTGCCCTTAGGCCAGTGCCCAGACTGCTAGATAGTCACCCTTCGGGGGCATCCATGGTGCTGGGAGGTTTACATGGGGCCTCACCCAGCTGGAGGAGTTGGGGAAGTTGGCTGCCTGAGCAAGTGAGGCAGGAAGGGTGGGCAGGAACAGCAGTGCCTAGAGGGAACAGCATGTGCAAATACTCCAGGTAGAGGGAGCCTACCATGTCTGAGGATAAAAAGAAAACCAAAGTGGTCGTCACCAAAATAGGCAAAGGCTGAAAACTAACTTGATTTAACTTAAAAAGATAATACAGTCCCATGTTAAAAATTCAAAAGATACAAAAAGGTGCAGGTGGTTTTTGAGCAGAGGAGCACCCTGATCAGACAGCCGAGTGGCCATGGTGATGATGGACAGGAGGAACCTCCGGACCTAGAGCAGGAATCCCTCCATTCCAGATAACTCTCCCCCTGAGAGGATCTGAGGATCTGTCGAGGATTGATGACTCGCTTTTGGGGAATTGTTCTCTGGGACTTTGCTCCCCAAGGGCAGTGTCCCTAGGAGGTCATGGTGATTTAGTTGACAGAGAGGCGTGCAGAGAGGCGCCCCTGCCAAATGCCGTCCACCTTGCCCCAGAAGGCAGCATTAGGATGTCTCGCCTCAGGGAGGGGCTGTGAGCTGCTTCTCTTGCATTCATCACTGCAGTTTCTACATGGAGAAGGAAGTGGTCATCTACCAGGGCAGGGGCCACTCCCGGCACCCCGCTCACTCTGGAGCATCACAGCCCGGGAGTACACCCACTAGCCTGCTGAGAAGCAGTGAGTCGACATGGCCACAGCTGAGCTGGAGGACGGGCACATCAGGGGGTCTTCATACCAGCTCCAAGAGCTGCCTTTGTGGCACCCACCATGTGCTCGTGTCGTTGCAGGAGGCGTCTCCCTTTTCTTGTCCTCCAGGGTCTCATCTGTAAGTGAGAGGGAGGTACCCCCTGGAGTGTGCCTGTGTGTGGGACGCGCTGGTGAGGCCAGGCAGCCTGGGAGCCCCCCAGCTCTGGCTCTGTGCCGGCCCCTCAATGCCCTGTGGGGCGGCTGTGCACACAGCGCCCCCCAAACTTTAACGCACACCGAAATCACAGTCTCCATTTCTAACAACGTCGTTCCCCGGAGGAGGCCAATGCTTCTAGACCCCAGACCACCCTTTGAGAGGCGAGCTTTAATGTCCACACACCCCTCCCATTTTACAGATTGGGAAACTGAGATTAGGAGAGAGTAAGTAGCCAGCCCAGCACCACCTGGCAAAGGCAGAGTAGGGTGCTCAGGTCTGTGGGCCCCACTCTGGAACCCAAGGTGAGAGAGCTGGGGTCAGCCCTGTCCCGTCCCTTCTCTGAGCCTGATTTTCATCTGTGGGGTACAGTGATGAAGGCTGTAACTTTTTAGCATAAGTATGTCCCATGCACTATCTGTGATGTACTTACACTAAAAAAGTACTTGTTTGTCTGAAATTCAAATCTAGCTGCTGCTTACTTGCTAAATTTGGCAACCCTAGAGTGTGGAACCTTTCTTGCCCTGGCACAGCATCCTCCAGGAAGCTGTCCTGAGCTCTCGCCCTTCTCTCTCTCTGTGTCTCTAATACTGCCTTGAACTCTTAGGTTCCTCTCTGTGGCCTGTCTCCACCCTGGCCTGGGAGTCCTGGAGGCAGGGACCATGCCACGTTGTTTAGTGTGTTCCTGGGCCCAGCAGGAGCTCACTCAATATTCATTAAAAGATTTCCCCCCTGGGGCCGGCCCAGTGGTGTAGCGGTTAAGTTCGCGCGTTCCACTTCGGCAGCGCGGGGTTCGCCAATTTGAATCCTCGGCGCGGACCTACTCATCACCCATCAAGCCATGCTGAAGTGGCATCCCACATAGAACTAGAAGGACCTACAACTAGGATATACAACTATGTACTGGGGCTTTGGGGAGAAAAAGAAAAAGAGGAAGATGGGCAACAGATGTTAGCTCAGGGCCAATCTTCCTCAAAACAAAAACAAAAACCAAAGCAAAAACGGCTTTTCCCCTGAGACTGTCGCTGGTACATTTTCACAACCCCTTCTCCTGCCTGGGGCTCTTGAGGACTATTACCAGTTAAAAGGAAGGAAAGGATGTACCAAGCAGGCTGGATTCTGCCCCTTGATGCTGGGCTGGATGCTCCCTCCATGTCATCTCGGTGACTCAGGGTAGAGACCACGGCTCTGGGGATGCCCCAGCCTGGGGCTGACTGCCAAGCTGGGGGTGTTGGGTGAAGGTAGAGGCCTATGTCTGCCCACTGTCACCTGCTCCCTGGGCAGAGCTGTCACCCACCTGGGGAACCTTGCTTCAGGCCCCTCTCACGGCTCCTTTGGATTCTGACTTATTGGCTCCAGATTAGAAAGTTAGGGTACAGCTACAAGAGGGACCACCATAGAAGACAGATCCCACTGTGAAGACACCCACCCAGCTTGCAGGGCTGGTGTGAATGTGAGAAGCAACATGGTGCTGTGAAGTGGAGAATAAGCATCAAGGTCAGCCTCCCAGACCTCGTCCCCACTCAGCCTGGACGTGTGGACTCCATTTCCCACATCCCCTGCTTTGCAGTCTGGCTTCTGATTTCTTTTCTCTGCCCAGGTCTTGGCCTATTAAGACCTAAGGCCGCCTTTTGCCAGATCCTGGAGCTGGGCCAGGGGTGCTCTGGGGGCAGCAGTCAGTGGTAGATTGTCCGAGCTGCTACCCTCCCCCTCCAGGGAGCCCTCGGGAAGGATGCTAGATCTGATCCATTTAGAGGTTCCATAAAGCAAGTGACTGGCCCCTGCTTGCGTCAGGCCTAAGTCATCCTCTGTGGGGGCCCCACAAGCCCTTCCCCACCTCAGCAGCAGGCTGGAGGAGCAGGACCCCAAGATGCTGCTGGCTTGGCCTCCTGCCTAATGGGAGGGTAGCTGCCCCATGGGAAGTGGGGACAAAGGACCAGAGAGCCCTGAGTTTTCTGGCTTCTACACCAGTGAGTCCTGACTGCAGCTGAGCTCCAGGGACAAGCAATCTAATTTTTCACTGAAATGTACAGATTGCAAGGATCCCTGCCCCAGGAACCGGGAACTCAGCCTCCAGGAGGCAACAGACGGGCCAAATGCCACGATGGCTGGAACAGGGAGAGACTGCCTGGGCTGAGGGTGGTGGGTGAAGTCCCCACCGCTGATGGAGAATTTGACTTACGGTGTGAAGGACAGGCAGGATTTGGAAAGATCTGGAGGGGGTCTTCACGGGGCCACAGCAGAACTAAGAGGAAGGAACCCACAGGGCATGTGGAGAGTGGTGAGCAGGTTAGTTGGCTTAGTAAAGGCTTCCATAGGGCAGTGGTTCTCAACCCAGGGCAGTTTGCCTCAATGGGGCATCTGGCAAGGAGTGGAGACAGTTAGGTTGTCACATCTGAGGGGTGGATGTTGCTGGCTTCTAGTGAGCAGAAGCTAAGGATGCTGCTGAAATCCCACAATGCCCAGGGCAGCCCCCACAACAAAGAGTTATCGGGCTAAAAATGTCAATCGTGCCAAGGTTGAGACCCCCCTGCAGAGCAACAGTAGAGAGGAGTGCTGAGAGCTCTGTGGGAGACAGCAGGGTGTGCCAGGCACAGCACTTATGGGGTGCACACAGCTGCAGCAAGAGACCAGTGACAGGTCTTGTCTTTCTTACGTATCAGGATGACTGGAGTTAGATGGCTGCAGACATGGAGCAGCATCTCTACACCACCATTAGGGATCCAAGTTCTTCCATCTTCCTGCCCTGCCATCGTTTTTTAAAAAAATTGTGGGGCTGGCCTGGTGGCGTAGTGGTGAAGTTTGGCACACTCCGCTTTGGCAGCCTGGGTTCACGGGTTTGGATCCTGGGCAAGGACCTGCACCACTCATCAGCCATGCTGTGGCAGTGACCCACATATAAAGTAGAGGGAGATTGGCACAGATGTTAGCTCAGGGCTAATCTTCCTTAGAAAAATAAAAAAATAAGATAAATAAATTAAATAAATAAATAAATAAAAATTGTGGTAAAATATACATGACAAAATTTATCATCTTAATCATTTTAGGTGTACAACTCAGTGGCATTAAGTACATTCATATTGTTGTGCAACCATCACCACCATCCATCTCTATAACTCTTTTCATCTTATGAAACTGAAACTCTGTGCTCATTAAGCACTAACTCCCCATCCCCCTCCCCCAGCCCCTGGCAACCACCATTCTACTTTCTGTATCTATGAATTTGACTACTGTAGGTATCTCACATAAGTGGAATCATATAGTGTTTGTCCTTTTGTGTCTGGCTTATCTCACTTAGCATAATGTCCTCCGGGTTCATCCATGGTGTAGCATGTGTCAGAACTTCATTCCTTTCTGTGGATGAATAACATTGCCTGGTATGTATATGCCACATTTTATTCATTCATCTTTTGATGGACACTTGGATTGTTTCCACCTTTGGGCTATTGTGAACAGTGCTGCAATGAATATTGGTGTACAGGTATCTGTTTGAGTCCCTGCTTTCAATTCTTTTGGGCATGTACCTAGGAGTAGAATTGATGGATCATATGGTAATTCCATGTTTAACTTTTTGAGGAACTGCTAAATTGTTTTCCACAGTGGCCACACCGTTTTCCATTCCCACCAGCAATGCACAAGGGTTCCAATGTTTCCACATTATCAACAACACTTGGTATTTTCCATTTTTTTGCTAACAGCCAACTTAATGGGTGTGAAGTGCTATCTCATTGTGGTTTGATTTGCATTTTCCTAATGATTAATGATGTTGAGCATCTTTTCCTGTGCTTACTGGCCATTTGTATATCTTTGGCAAAAAGTCTATTCAAGTCCTTTGCCCGTTTTTGAATTGGGTGGGTTTTCTGGTTATTAAATTTTATGAGATCTTCATATATTCTGCATATTAATATTAATCCCTTATCAGATATGTGTTTTGCAAATATTTTGTCCTATGCTGGGAGTTGTCTTTGCACTCTCTTGATAGTGTCCTTTGGAGCACAAAAGATTTCAATTTTGATGAATTCCAATACATCTTTTTTTTGCCTATACTTTTGGTGTCATAGCATAGAAATCATTGCTAAATTCAACATCATGAAGATTTTCCCCTGAGTTTTCTTCTGAGAGTTTTATAGTTTTACCTCTTTCATTTAGATTTTTGATCCATTTTGAGTTAATTTTTGTATATGGGGTAAGGTAAAGGTCTAACTTCATTCTTTTGCATGTGGCTATCCAGTTTTCTCAGCCCCATTTGTTGAAAAGACTGTCTCTGGTCTATATATCTGTCCTTATTCCAGTGTGACACTATTCTGGTAACTGTAACTTTGTAGTAAGTTTTGAAACAGGAAGTGTGAGATTTCCAACTTTGTTCTTTTTTGTCAAGATTGTTTTGGCTATTCAGGGCCCCTTGAGTTTCCACATGAATTTCTGCAAAAAAGATCATGAGTATTTTGATAGGAAATGCATTGGCTCTGTAGATTGCTTTGGGCAGTATTGACATCGTAACAATATTAAGTCTTCAAGTCCATGAACATGGGATGTCTTTCCATTTATTTGTGTCTTTAATTTCTTTCAGCATCGTTTTGTCATTTTCAGTGCACAGGTTATTCACCTCCTTGGTTGAATTTATTCCAAAGAATTTCATTCTTTTTGATGATATTGCAAATGGAATTCTTTTCTTAATTTTCTTTTCAGATTGTTCATTGTTAGTGTATGGAAATACAACTGATTTGTGTGCAACTGGTTTTGTATCCTGCAACTTTGCTGAATTCATTTATTAGCTCCTGTAGCTTTCTTTTGGATTCTTTGGGATTTTCCTCTTTTTACCTCCTCTTTTCCAGTTTGGATGCCATCTGTTTCTTTTTCTTGCCTAATTGCTCTGGTTAGAAATTCCAACACAATCTTGAATAGCAATGGTGAAAGCAGACACCCTTGTCTTGTTCCTGATTTTAAGAAAAAAGCTTTCAGTGTTTCACCATTGAGTAAGATGTTTGTGGGTGTTTCACAGATGTCCTTTATCACGTTGAGGAAGTGTCCTTCTATTCCTAGTTTTATGAGTGTTTTTGATGATGAAAATGTGTTGGGGTTTGTTAAGTGCCTTTTCTGCATCAGTTGAGGTAATCGTGGTTTTCCCCCTTCATTCTAATAATGTGATATATTACATTGATTGATTTTCTTATGTTGAGCCACTTTTGCATTCGTGGGATAAATCTCACTTGGTCATGATGTATAATCCCCTTAATATGCTGTTGGATTTTGTTTGCTAGTATTTTGTTGAGGATTTTTGCCTCTATATTCATAAAGGATATTGGTCTAATTTTCTTTTCTTATGATGTCTTTGTCTGGCTTTAGTATCAGTGTAATGCTGCCCTCATAGAATGAGTTAGGAAGTGTTCTTTGTCTTCAGTTTGTTGGAAGAGTTAAGCAGGATTGATCTTAATTTTTCTTTAAATGTTTAGTACAATTCACCAGGGAAGCCATCCATTCCTGGATTTTTCTTTGTTAGAAGGGTTTTGATTACTGATTCAATCCCCTTTATTAGTTGTGGGTCTGTTCAGATTTTCTATTTATTCATGATTCAATCTCGTAGGTTATGTGTTTCTATGAATTTGTCTATTTCATCTAGGTTATCTAATTTGTTGATGTACGGTTGTTCATAGTATACTCATAGAATCCATATTATTTCTCTAAAATCAGTTCTAATGTCCTTTCTCATTTCTGATTTAATTATTTGAGTCTTCTATATTTTTTTCTTTTTTTTTAAAAGTTCTTTTTTTTTAAAATTTTTATTTTATTTTATCTATTTTTTCCCCAAAGCCCCAGTAGATAGTTGTATGTCATAGTTGCACATCCTTCTAGTTGCTGTATGTGGGACACGGCCTCAGCATGGCTGGAGAAGCGGTGCGTCGGTGTGTGCCCGGGATCCGAACCCGGGCCGCCAGCAGCAGAGCGCGCGCACATAACCGCCAAGCCACGGGGCCGGCCCTATATTTTTTTTCTTAGTCTAGCTAAAGTTGTGTCAATTTTTTTGTTCTTTTCGAAGAACTAACTCAGTTTCATTAATTTTCTCTATTGTTTTCTAGTCTCTGTTTTGTTTGTCTCGCTCTAATCTTTATTATTTCCTTCCTTCTGCTAGCTTTGGGTTTAGTTTGTTCTTTTTCTAGTTCTTTAAGGTGTGCAGCTAAGCCATTGAT